GGCAAACCTTGCTTTACCGCACTTCATAGACGGTGCGTTTTTACAAATTGAAGACAAGGCCCTCCACCAGCATAAAGATCACCAATCACTTCACTGCAGTGCTTGCTTCATCGTGACGGTCTGGAACCTCACCTGCAATATCCCCATGGTGTGCCTGTAGGAGCGATCTACCTTCTGCTTCTCTGGGAAACTGCAACGGCAGATACCAGCACTAGCCAGTCGGTTCTCAAACTACCGGTCCCAGAATGCAGCAGTATCAGCATCACTAGGAAACTTGTTAGAAACGAGCATTCTTGAGGCCATCCCAGAACTACTAAGTCAGAAACTCTGGGGCCGTGCCTGGCAGTCAGTGCTTTCGACAGACCTCCAGGTGATTCCGATGCATGCCCCCATCTGAGAACACTCTACTCAGCTAAATACATCCTGTCTGGGACTGAATCCTCCCTTGCTACTCAGCATGTGCTCTGTGGCCATGGGCACCACCTCCGGCTGGTTAGCACTGCACACAGTCAGGCCCCACTCCAGACCCACAGAATTGGAATCTGCATGTTAAGAAGGGTCCCAGGTGGCTCATGTGCCTGTTTGTTCACAAAATAGAATCCTATAAGGTGAATATGAGCCATCCTGAGATCTGGACCCCCTCGGGGCCTACCAGTCTGGCTTTCCCTGAGCGCCTGAGCTAATGCCCTTAAAATTAAACCTCCGTTACTTGGAATGACTTAAGTGACTCTCTGGTCCCTGAAACACAAAGGCCCTTCCCAGACTCAGATGACCGGGTCTGGGGCACCTCCTTCATGTCGGTGCTGCTCCTTATTCCCCCCGCCCCACCCCAGGGTCACTCTGCAAATGAAACCAATTGCCCAGAACCACTCACCACCTTGTTTATACTCGTGGGTTTTTCCTTTTCTTTCTCTGACTAATCCTTACTTTTCCCAATTCAGATGGGAGCCTCCAAGGCTGTGCTGCCCAGCACAGCAGCCAGTAGCCACTGTGATTATTGAGCCCTTGAAACATAGCCAGTCCGAAGTGAGATGTGCTGTGAGTGTAAAACTCACCCGCCAGATGTTGAATACGCAGTATCTCGTTAATAATTGTAATACTGACTATATGTTGAAATGATAGTTTCTTGGGTATATTGGGGTAATTTTATTAAAATTGATTTTACCTAGTCCTGGCTGGTATGGCTGAATGGCTTGGAGTATCACCCTGTAACCAAAGGGTTGCAGGTTCGATTCCTGGCCAGGGCACACACCTAAGTTGCAGGTTTGATCCCTGGTCTGGGCACACACGGGAGGCAACCAATCAATGTCTCTCTCTCACATCAATGCTTCTCTCTCTCCCTTCCTCTTTCTCTAAAAGCAACAAAAAATGTCCTCAGGTGAGGATAAAAAATAAAATTAATTTCACCCATTTTCTTTTAAGGTGGCTACTAGAAAACTTAAGATTATACATATGGCTCATGGTACATTTCTGTGGACAGTGCCGTGCTGGAGAACAGGACTGTGGCCCCTGCATTCGAGAGAAAGGTCCCGGAGGGCAGGTACCAGGTCTCTTCCCCGCTCTGCACCAAGACTCTGTGGCCAGTCCTCTGAGGCGGGTGAGTGTCAGGGCTGGTGGCCAAGAGCCTTTCTAGGGCTTAGACCAGGGTTGCATCCCACTGCATTAGGCCATGAATGGCCCTGTCAATAAGGCGCTTGTCCTTATGAAGGACATCGCATGTTTCTGGGCCCTGGTTACCCAGTTGGAAATCAGACAGGGAGAGGACTCTGCCTGAGCAAGATGGCTCCCGCCGTGTGGGGTCAGGGTGACTCAGCACAGGGACCCCAGTGGCTGCTTTCTCAGTCCTGTCCACAAAGCCACCATGCCCAGTCTCTCCTCAAGTGTTTCTAGTCCACTCTGCCCCCACCTTTGCCGGAGCCCAGGGTAAGTGGCCGCAGATGAACATTTATGCGTTGGCCCTTTAAATGGCCCTTTGTGTCTCCAGCCAGCTGTCTCTGGCAGAGAGCAGCCCTGCGCTCTTGCTCAGGCGGGGCCCTCCCCTCATCTGATTTCCAATCTCGTAACCAGGGCCAAGAAACACGCACTATCCTCCACGAGGACAAGTGTCTTGCTCACAGGGCCACCACTCCTCCGCTCTCCATGCAAGGATTTCCCTGACGTGGTTCTCGAGATGTTAATACCAGGCTCAAATACTACAAGGCTACTGATTACTGGGTGCCTACCCTGTGCGTATGGGGCAGCCATGAGCTCCAGCTTACAGAAAGAGAAATAAAGTTCCAAAATGTTAGACATTTGTGGAGCTCAAATACAAGACCATCCGACAGCACAGCTTTCTGAAGTTGAGCACTAAAGGGTTGCAAGTAAGGATCATACTCTTAATTCCAGAACCTCTGCTCTTACCAGGTAAGAAGCATAGTAGAAAGCTGACAAGAAGGCAGGTGGGCCGCTAGATTCCCTTTGTAAGAGTTGGGCTGGTCTGGCACAGTCCACCAGTTATCCGTGGCAGAAGGGAGCAGAGTGGATCTCTCTAGACTTATGGTCTATGGGCTGGTCCCAAAGCACACATCGGCTGGAACTGCCTTCGATGCAGAAGCAGAATGTGTACAGGCCATTCACATGGAAAGAGGCTGCAGCCTTTAGGCCATTCTATCTTCTAGAAGACATGCATCTGAAGCGATTTGGGCCTGAGTGTCCCCAAGTTAAAACCAAAGAGGACGGGGCAGGGCTGAGAGCCTGAGCCTTCTCCCATTCCGCTGTGCCTCTCCTGCCTTGCTTCCCGCCCTCCTGCCCTGACTAAAATTTTTGTTGCTTAGTTGAGACATCAGATCTAGCTTCCTCAACCATGGGAACTGGGAAAAAAAGGTTTCATGTTACCTAGGTTTTTTATACCACCCCTGCACTCATGACCTACTCAATTCCTTAAAAATAGATCAAAGAAAACTAGGGCTAGCCCAGATTTTCGAGACCACTGAATTCAAACACTGTTCTGCAGAAACAGGGGTCCAGGGTTTAAATTCACACACCTGACTGGTAAAAGGTGCAACCAGGACCTTGGACGCCTGACTCATAATCACTCTCTTCCCGAGCTCCGAACAGAATATCAGAAACAGGGGCTCATAGGCTGGATTTTTGTGTCCCCACCCAAATCCTCGCTGAAGCCCTAACCTCCCTCCCCTCCCCATGACCATGACTGTATTTGAAGACAGGGCTTATGAGATGGTGGTAAAGGTTCAATGAAGTCATAAGGTCAAGGCCCTAACCAATGGGCTGGTGCCCTTATTTGCAGAGGAAGGGACCATGGAGAGCTCGCTCTCACTCTCTCTCTCTCTCTGCCATGTGAGGACACAGCAAAAAGGCTACTGTCTGCAAACAGGAAGAGGTTCTTCGCCACAAACCAAACCCTGTTGGACCTTGACTTTGGACTTACAGCCCCCAGAATTGTGGGAAAATTAATTTCTATTATGTGAGCCAGGCAGCCCAGGTTGACTAACACAAGTAATTCTTATTTGTGGACCTCAACTCAAAGTTTGGGCATTGAAAAGTGCACAATGTACGGGGAAGAACAGCCCCAGAATTGGCTGCTTGAGGGCCATTCAGAGACCAACCGGGGCTACTTTCCATCTGGAATGTCCTGGCCCACAGGCACTTGAAGGTCATTAAAATGAACAGGTCACTCAGTTGAAGAATTTGTTGAAACTATCCAAACTATGCATATTCTGTTCTGTGAAACAGTCTGTCCTCCTAGGATGTAGGTAAACAAGAAAAACATTGGCCCAGGTGCCCCTTGCCACCTTCTGAACCTTCCCTGGATGCAGTGATCCTCATAAACAGTGTCCCCTGAAACCCAGTTAAGAGGACTGTTTTCTGAGAGAGGAGAGAGTAAGCCTCACCCTCTGATTTATAAGCCCTTAAAAAGGCCTGGAGGGGTTGAGGGAATCTTGTCATACTTCTGAGGGTCTGACAAACCCCCAGATCCCTTCAGATGCCAGGTCTTTTACCAGCCAACAGCCTGAACTAGAAATGTCCTCATCTGCAAAGCGGCTTCGGTATGTGGGGGATGGACTACCAGCAAAAGAAACAGCTTAATTTACGGTCAGATGCTTTTTTCCTGAAAGTTTATAAGTGAATAGAATTTTTTAAAGTATAAAAGAGAAAAAAAAAAGACAAAATAATCAGTGTTAACACATCGGTGTGTTTATCACATATTTTTCTTAGTTTTATACAATCTTTTATAATAGGCATCTATTACTTTATAATTATGATAATAAATACTGCTCATTCATTCTCTAAATATTTCAGCACCTATTGTGAGCCAGGAGGTTGTCTAGATGCTAGACAAATAGCAGTGAACAAGACAGAATCCCTCTCCTCCTGGACCTTCTGTTCAGAGATGGGCGATAGGGAGACAGCAGAATGTGAGCCCTGAAGGAAAAATTCAGGTAGAGGGAGAAGATGGGGAGTCCTGGGGGTGGGGTGGTCAGAAAGGGTATGCTAAGAAGGGGACGACTGAGCAGAGAGACCTGGAGGAGGTGAGGGTGAGTCAGGTGAAGGGCTATGGAAAGAGCTCTTCCTCTGGAGAGGAACCGTGGGGTGCAGGCTCTGAGGCCTCGCTCCAGGAAGAGCAGAGGGCCGGCACGACCCCAGTGGAGTGAGCAGGTGAGGAGTGGCAGGAGCTGGTCTGGGGGGCCAGGCGGGGCCAGGCGGGGCCAGACGGGGCAGGGCTGTGCGAGGAGTCTGGTCTCTGTCTCAGTGTGAGGTGAAGCCATGGGGAGGCTGGAGCAGGACAGTGAGGTCGTGTGTAGTTTGACAAACGCTGTCTCCTGGGATGCCTCCCTCGTTCGCAGGGACCATGTTTTTCCCATTAGATGAAAAAGGACCTGAGTTTAGGGACGGATGTACTTTCTCCTGTGGCTTCCTTCCCAAGCAATGGCTGCAGCAGGAGCTGCAGGCCTTGGGCAAGCGGACGGCTCCCACCAGGGCTCTCACCTCCTGGGACTCACCTTCCACCGTCAACTCCACTGTCACCTGCCGGGCACCACTACCATTGGTAGCTTCGCAGGTATACTTCCCCGAGTCCTCCTCACGGACAGCATGAATCACAAGGCTGAAACTCCCTCGGATGCCACGGTCCAGCAGGAAGCGGCCCCCACTGGCGATGGGCTGCCCACCTCTGTGCCAGGCCACGCGGGGCTCTGGGTAACCGCAGACCTTCAGGAGAAAGAAGAAAGGCTGAGAGCTTACATTCAAGGAGTTCTTCCTGTGTGCCAGGCACTGTTCTGAGTCCTTTACGTGTGTAAACTCATTTAATCCTCATAACAACTCTTGAAGCAGATACTATTTTCATCTGGACTTAGAGGTGAGGAAATTGAGCCGCAGAGAGTTTGGGTAGCTTTCCCACACACAGTGTTGAAGGTAGAAAGTATCAGAGTCAGGCATCCTGGCTCCAGGGCCCACTACACGAGTTGACTCTCCAGCCTGGTTGCACATTAGAATCAACAGGGAGCTTTGAAAAATGCAAGTGTGCAGGCCTTACCTTGGACCAGTTAAATCAGAATCCCACGGGGTGGGGATGAGCATGCAGGATCTAGACCAGTGCTTCCCACTCTAACATGCAAATGAATCGCTTGTTAAAATGCACATTCTGCTTCTATAGGTCTTGGGCGGGACCTGAGGTTCTGCAGTTCAGACAAGCTCTCAGATGATGCTGATGCTGCTGGTCCCCAGAACTCACGTTGAAGAACAAGGTTCTAGACCTGAGCTGCCCAGTATGGCAGCCCCTAGCCACGTGGGGTGAAGGAGCACTTGAAATGTGCTTGTCCTAATTGAGTTGCACTTTAAGCATAAATTATACACTGGGTTTTGCAGACTTAGTATTTAAAAAAAAGTAAAATATCTCAATAATTTAAAAGCATTGATTACATGTTGAAAGTATAGTATTTTTGACGTGTTGGGTTAAATAAAAATATATTGTTAAAATTAATTTCACTTGTTTCTTTTCACTTTTTTAATGTGGCTACTAGAAGCGTCCCTGCCACCTGCGGGCCTTGCCCGGTGTTTCCGTGGGCAGTGCTGCTCTAGACCGCTGTCTTCCTCTACTGGCAGGAAACTCCCAACCTCTGTTGAGTCTAAGGATTTTAAGGAAGCACTTTTCTAAGCATTTGATGCATCTGAGCCTCGTAGTGACTTGTTCAGATTGGATAGTTCCCCAAAGAGAGGGAAATAGAGATAAATTCCAAGAAAACAAATCTTTACACTTTGGGTTTTTTTTTGAAAGAAATTCCCCCAGGGCCTTGAGCCCTGAACGGATCAGGTGCTTCAGAGTGGACTGATCTTCCGAGGATCAGGGCTCAGACTGGCCCATTGATTGATACACAGCCTGGGACCCAGAATAGGGGGGATTTTAGTACTGGAAGTGCACTGAAGACAGCACAGAAATCTCTTGGGAAAGACGATGTTTGCACCACAAAACGTGGTGGCCAAAGCTTTCATCCATGTCTCCACGCCAAGACAAGAGAGACTGAACACAGGTGAAGCAAAACCAAAATTCCCTGGATGACCCCAAATGGAACTCACAATGAAAGTCTTCAGTGGCCTGTAGCAATAACCCTCCTGCCACCCCCAGGAAGGACAGAGGGGATGCCGCATCAGCACGCGGGAGAAAGGGGGTGAGGAGGCGGCCTGTGCATGCGCACTTGGGCAGACTAACACGTTAACTCCCTAAGCAGCTAAGGAAGAAATAACTGAGCGAGAAGCAGCAGCCGTCATCTTCAGACTGTGCTTGCTTCCCTTCCCAGGTGTCCAGCCCCCAGCGCACCACTGGACTCATTTCTCAGTAGCCAGGGTGTGGATGTCTTCCTAGGAAAGGAGTCCTGGAATCACAGGTGAAATCCTCACAGCAAGCAGCCCCCTGGTGGTCCTCTGTGCCATTCTGCGAACCTCACGAGGCCTGCCTCCCATTCTCACTCATCTGTAGTCAGGCCTTAATAGGAAAACAACCCCCCCCAAAAAGCCTCCAATCATTATTACCCATCTTATTTATGATTTCTGGAATCAAATGAACAAGCAAACACACAACAATCTCTTTCCTTTCCAAATCCAAACTATACTTAGGACAGAGCCCAGCTACCCACGAGGGAATGCTTATTCTAAAGTCACCTCCCCAGAAGCAGACGACAGAGGCCAAAGCCACTGCAGCCTCAGCAAGGCACTCATGTCCCACCTCAGGGGGACAGGGACCATATTCAGGTTTCACATCTATTATAATGTGAAACAAAGTACTGACAGTGGTTGTCTCTGGGTGTCTCCTCTTTTCCTTCTATTTAACTATTATTCTCTGATATTTCTGCGAACAACACCCTTAATTTTGTAAAATAGAAAAAAATTAGACTTCCGCCAAGATGAAGACGTAGGTGGAGGAACCACCTTGCCTCTGTGCACAACCAAATCTAAGAACAACTATTTTTAACAACAATCACAACCAAGCCACACGGAAAATCGACAATACGGAGTCCAAAGACAACTAAATGCTCAGCTAAACCGGTAAGAGAAGCGAAGCCAGCAGCGGAGCAGGTTAGCAAGAAAAAATTCCCGGGTGGTGCGCGGTGTGCAAGCAGACGAAGGCGCTGATCGCGGGCTAGCTATGGGAGCGCACAGGGAAGAGGCGCAGCGGGCTGTCTGTGGTCGGTCGGTCGCGCATCTGCGTGGGGAGAAACCAGTGAGAAGGGAAGCCTGTGCGGGGCAGCAGGCTCGCACAATTCCGGATAAACAAGCCCGGGGCGAGTGGTGTGACTGGACGGGCTAGGCTAGCGCCATTGCTCCTTCTCTGACCACGCCCCCACACACAGCATCACAAACCAGCGACCTGGGTCGCCCCGTCCTGGTAAACAATTAAGGCTTCGCTCCGCTTACTTAACAGCACGAATAGACCAAAAATGGCTCTAGGACAACTCAGAGCCCCAGAACCGATAGATCTAAGCGATGAAGAAATAGCCAGTCTTTCAGATGCACAGTTCAAAACACTGGTTATCAGGATCCTTACAGAACTGGTTGATTTTAGTCACAAATTAGAGAAACATATGGAAGCTAAACTAATTGAAATGAATGGTAATACAAAGGAAACCAATAGTAATGGAAAGAAAATTGGGACTCAAATCAAGGGAGTGGACCACAAGGAAGAAAAAAATGATCAAACAGAAAAGAATGAAGAAATAAGAATTCAGAAAAATGAGGAGAAGCTTAGGAACCTCCAGGACATCTTTAAACGTTCCAACATCCGAATTATAGGGGTACCAGAAGGGGGAAAGGCACAGCCACCAGTGGAAAACTTATTTGAACAAATAAAAAAGGAGAATTTCCCCAATCTGGCAAAGGCAATAGAATTCCAGGAAATCCAGGAAGCTCAGAGAGTCCCAAAGAAGTTGGACCCAAGAAGGAACACACCAAGGCACATCATCATTACATTAGCCAAGATTAAAATGAAGGAGAGAATCCTAGAAGCAGCAAGAGCTAAGGGGACAGTCACCTACAAAGGAGTCACCATCAGACTGTCAGCTGATTTCTCAAAAGAGACCTTACAGGCAAGAAGGGGCTGGAAAGAGGTATTCCAAGTCATGAAATCTAAAGACCTACAACCAAGATTGCTCTATCCAGCAAAGTTTTCATTTAGAATGGAAGGACAGATAAGGTGCTTCTCAGATAAGACCAAATTCAAGGAGTTCCTCATCACCAAGCTATAAATGTTAAAGGGACTTACCTAAGAAAAAGAAGATAAAAAAATGAGACAGTGAAAGGACAGCAAACTCACAGTTAGTAACAACCACACCTAAAACAAAAGCAAACTAAGAGGATAGCTAGATCAGGAGCAGAACCATAGAAATGAAGATCTCATGGAGGGTTAGCAACAGGGGAGTGTGAGGAGGAGAAGGGGGGAGAAGGTACAGAAAATAAGTAGCATAGACAGTAGATAGAAAATAGATAGTGGGGAGGGTAAGAATAATAGGGGAAATACAGAATCTAAAGAATTTGAGACACGTGTTCATGAACTAAAGGGGGAAATGGTGGGGGAGGGGTATGCAGAGTGGAGGGGAATGGAGGGGGGAATAGAGCAAATGTAATGGCATAATCAATAAAAAAGTTAAAAAAAAAGAAAAAAATTAAATGAAAATGTGTTTCATTTATATCAGTGTGTTTACATAATGAATGTTAGCACATTCAGTAACTTGTGGAGGCCCTCGAAAGTACTTAAACATAGCCATGTAAATAAAAACACCACACAAATAAACATTATGCACGTTTGGAGGTGACAAATGCCATGTACCTACATAAAAAATGTGTCATCTTGTGACACTATGTTGGCACAGAGGTTCATGTGAAGGCACATTAGACAATAATTACTTTGTTAAAGCATGATTCTTATCTGTTAAAGCATATTTTCAGGAAACAACTAAGGAAAGGAAACTCTTCCCTATAGAAGGAAGCCCTTGAGGAGCCTGGCCATGCAGTGAATTTGCAAAACATTGTTATCTTCTCCCCCACCCCATGACGCAGGAGCAGCCAAGCCTCCAGAAGATGATCCCCTAGCCTCCTGTGAGCTTCGGAGAAAGGGAGGGTACAGCACTGAAACTGGGCACAGATAAATCATTAACTGTACCCAAGGTGTCCTCAGCATTCCAGCAGCGAGTTCTCTGGCCCCCTGCAGCAGTGCCAGCTCTGGTGGCCCATCAGTTCCTGAGGCATCAATGATTAACTGGGGACATTGCAAGTGTTCCAGACCTCAGGGACACAGCTCCCTCTTTCCCTTTCTGTTTTCCTCTCATTGACACACATACACGCCCTAATTTCCTTCTGAAACGTTCTGTTAAAAATAAATACTTTAGGATTTTTAAATATCCGGAAACTGGCACCTCTTAGAAAGCTGCAGCTTGCAATGGGACTTCTGCCCACCTTGAACCTGAAGTAAAAGCAGGAATCTCTGTGGCCTCGCTCTGTTCCAAAGTCTGAACGGTTTGCAACTCCACTTCTTTTCCTCCCAATATGGGATAAACTTGGTCGGCCACTGCCTCACATTTAAAAAAAATTATTCAGCTTCAAGCAAACCCATTTTTACTGTCTGCCCACTCTCCTGGGCTCCTGGGTGGGGAAGGAAGAAGCGCCTGGGCCCACCTCCTTGGGACGCCTGGAACAGCCTTGCCCCCTGCCCTGCCGCCCCA